CCGCTCAGACCCAACCAAGTAAACACAGACACTTATATTGCTTTCAAACCGTATGGCCGTGGCAGGCTTCTTGCTAACTGTTCCTTTATCTTAAATTAACCATTTCCTTTTATCTTAAATTAACCATTTCCATAAATCTATTCCTTAAAGTAATCCATTTCTACAAATCTATACCTCGCCACGTGGCTGGTGGCTTACTGGCATCTTCACATGCTGCTGGTCATGGCAGCGGCTGCAGCGTCTCTGGTCATTGCGGCGGCTGCAGCCTCTCTGGTCATTGCGGTGGCTGCAGCATCTCTGGTCATGGCGGCAGCTGCAGCATCTCTGGTCATGGCGGCAGCTGCAGCGTCTCCTTCTGCCTTTCTGTCCTTTTATATCTCCTCTCTGTTAGTCCCACCTATCTTTCCTGCCTAGCCACGGCCGATCAGGTTTTATTTATTAACCAATCAGAGCAACTTGACATACAGACCATCCCCCAGTACAGCCAAGTGCAGACCATCTCAGACACCTGCACTGATCAGGCCCATGGTCCTAATCATCCTCTATGCAAACCTGCTGGGTAATGCCACAAGGAACCCAAGAATGGGCTCCCACAGGACCTACAGAACATCCCACAGCACTCCCCTCCCCACAGCCTCTTTCTGATCTTAGTTTTGGTTTTATGAGATACAGTTTCTCTGTGTAGCCTTGGCTGTCCTAGATCTCACTCTGCAGACCAGGCTGGCCTTGAACTCAGAGCTCCACTTGTCTCTGCCTCCTGAGTGCTGGCATTAAAGGCATGTGCCACCACTGCCCAGCCTGTCTGACTTTTACAACACACACACACATGACTATGAATTTTCTTTTTAGAACTGCCTTTGCTGAATTTCAAAGGTTATGATAAGTTGGGATATCATTTTTATTTGTTTCTAAGAAGTTTTAAATTTAATCTCCTGATTTCTTCAATGACCCACTGATCAAAGTTGTATTAGTTCTCCAAGTATCTTTGTAGTTTCTATGGTTTCTTTTGATGTTGATTTCTATGGCCTGATGAGACACAAGATTTTTCCTAAGTACTTTTCTATTTGCTAAGACTATTGGCTCAAGCTGTGCTCACACCATTGACCATCTTCTCTATCATTAGCCTCAATGTGATACATAATGAGGCAAAGCATGTTTTATCCTAGTTTTATGACATAGGATCTGATCTATTTTAGAGAAAGTTTCATGGGCTCCCAAGAAGAATGTGCATTCCACAGTGGTTGGACTCAGTAAATGTCTGTTAGATCCATGTATTCTATAATAATTTACTCTGAAGTTTCCTTATTAATTGTTCAGTCCTGGAGATCTATCTATTAATGTGAATATGGTACTGAGGTCACCAAATAGTATTGTGTCGGGAGATAGTTGTTATTTTATGTTCATTAATGTGTGTTCTATGAAACTGAGAACCCCATAATTCAGCATCTTCATTGCAATATAATGTAATATGATGTGGTATAATATAATATATTCACACTTGTTATAATATTCTTGATGGATTATATATATATCACATTTTCATTATCCATTCATCAGGTGACATACATCTATGCTGGTTTCATTTCCTTGCTATTGGTAATAGAGCAGCAGTGTACCTGGATATGTAAGTATATCTGTGGTAAAATATAAAGTTCTTTGGGTATATGCTCAGGAAGGCTGGAAGTTTTATTTTTATTTTTTCTGAGAAACCTCCACACTGATTTTCATAGTGGGTGCACCAATGTGCATTCTCAACAACATCATATAAATGTTCTTCTCTCTCTTCATCTTCACCAGCATTGGTTTTCTTGATGGCCATTCTGAGTGGGCTAAGATGGAATCGCAAAGTAGTTTTAGTTTACATTTACTGGATGCCTAAAGATTTTGAATACTTTAAAAAATACTTATTTTCACTGTTGATTCCCTTAGGTTTTAACTGGGATTTTCAGTTTCTGTTTAATTTGGAGGGGGGTAATATGTTCTGGGTATGAATAGTTTATATATACGACAAAATTTTTCTCCTGTTCTGAATCCCTCACTTGATTAACTATTATCTTTGCTGTCCTGAAGCTTTTTAATGTCATGAGGTCCCATTTGTTGGCTGCTGACCTTTTTGCTTAAGCAGATGGAGTCCTATTCAGAAACTCTTTACTTACATATATATCTTGAAGTGTTTTCTCTCCTTTTTTCCTCTAGAACTTCCAGATTTTCAGGTCTCTTATTAAGGTTTTTGAGCCATTTGGAGGTAATTTTGTGGAAGGTGAGAGATAAGAATTTTGATTCATTCTTCTACATGTAGATATCTTTTCACAGCATTATTTATTTAAAATTCTCTCTGTTCTCCAATAAATATTTTTATCATTTTTTGTCCAAAACAGAAATAGCTATAACTTATGTGTAGATCTTCTATTTTATTCCATTGATCTATGTGTTTATATCTGTGCCAATATGATGCTGTTTTTGTTACTATGAATCTATAGTAAACTTGGAATCAGGTGTATTGATACCCTCAGTATTATTCTTTTTTCTCAGGACTGGTTTGTTATTCAGGGTATTTTTAATTACCCATCATTTCTCCATAAAACATTGTCTATATTAGTGGTGAAGAAGCCAGCAACTCAGAGCAGCAGCAGCTGCCTCCATAGTTCCAGCGCCACTGTTTGTGGCCAGGTCCAGGGCCGAAACTTCTCCTTAGCAAGCCTCCTAGCCTGCCTCAAACTGGTGATCCTCCTGCCTCCGCCTTCTTTAGCAAATCTTACTGGTATGTGCCACCAAAATCTGCAATGTGTAGCTTAGGTCTGAGGTGTGGCCCACAAGGCCACAGGCAAGCAGCTTTTCATGAATTCTTACCACAAACGTGTGATGCCAGATATAGCATGAATCTTCAAAGTTCTTATTAATAAAATCAAACCTGAGGCCAGTTATTGGGGTGAACACAGGAAGATCAGAGAGACAGAACAAGCCACAGCTACCTCACCTCGCCAGTTCCTCAGCCGATCTTGTTTCCTCAGACTCGAATTCTTTGAATCCTCATCCCAATGGGTCTCAGCTGAACTGTTCTTCAAAATCCTAAAAGCTTAACCAGCCAGATGCTTAACCAGTCAAATGTTTCTAGTTTCTGGCCTTCAAGCCTTATATACCCTTCTGCTTTCTACCACCACTCTCTGGGATTAAAGGCTTTGTTTCTGGGTATAATGGCATGTGTGAGCATGCCTGTCTGTTTCCAATGTGGCCTTGAACTCACAGAGATCCAGAGGGATTTCTACCTCTGAAATGCTAGGATTAAAGGAGTGAGTGCCACCATTTTCTAGCCTTTGTATCTAATGGCTGTTCAGTCTCTGACCACTCCCACATATTTTTATTAGGGTGAACAATATTTTGGGGAACACAATACCACCACAATCTAGTTCTAGATTCTTAACAATCATTATAAAACATCACAGATTCCATCAGAATGGCCACTATAAAAAAATAATCTATTCTGGGGAGAATGTGGTGGGAAGAAGGATCTTTACTCTCTGTTCATGGGAATGTAACCCACTGTAGCCACTGTGGAAGTCAGTGTGGCAGCTTGTGGAGGTCTACAAAGGTTTCCTAGTGAGATGTGAGGTTGCTGTACCCAGCAGGGCTGCAGTAGAAGATTGCTTGACCATATGCATGGATACTATGTGACTCGGAGGGTCTACAGCTGGTCCAGCTAGGGGGAGGTCTCCACTCCTTGGCTTTCTTATAAATAGCCCAGGTCTATGCTCCACCCCTTGGCGTTCTTATAAAAAGCCGAGGTCTTTGCTTCACCCTTTGGCATTCCTATTAAAAAGCCCTTTAGAAGAGACAGAAGGGGCCAGGCCTTCCCGATGCTATCTTTTGTTCCTATTTGTTTCTCTCCCCTCTATCCTTCTACGTCTATATTTTTTCTAAGTCTCTTATCCCTCTCTTTCAAGAGTTCCTGTGATAAAACGGTGGGAGCTGGAGTCACTCAGCAGTGTCTGGAGGAGCTAGTTGGATAGCGGTGTTGTGTTCCTTGGACTTCCTGTCTGGGATTTCATCAAATTTTGTGGATGTTCACCGCAGTCATGACCATGTGGGTCCCAAGCACACTCAGGAAGCAGCAGCCCATTCAGTCTACGGCTGGGGCGGTCCCAGTTCACAATGAGAAAGGTGAGATTTCAATGGAAAAAGTGAAGGTAAAACGTTATGTGTCTGGAAAGAGACCAGATTATGCCCCTATGGAGTCCTCAGATGAAGAGGATGAAGAATTTCAGTTCACCAAGAAAGCTAAGGAACAAAAAGCAGAATCTGAGGAGCAGGAAGAGGATCCATCCAGTAACCCCCGACTTCAGCATTTACAGAAGCGCCATAGTGAAGATGTGGAAGAGAGATTGGCTCGACACCAGAAACTAGTGGAACCTGATGTGGTAGGAGAAAGTGACTCAGAAGTAGAAGGAGATGCTTGGCTCATGGAACGGGAAGGTAGCAGTGAAGAAGAGGGGGAAGAAATTGATGAGGAGGAAATAGAGCGGCGCCCTGGCATGATGCGTCAGCGAGCAGAGGAGAGGAAAAATGAAGAGCTGGAAGTCATGGCAGTGGAAGATGAAGGACGCTCTGGGGAGGAGTCGGAGTCAGAGTCAGAGTCTGAGGAGGACACCCACAGTGAAGAGGAGATGGAGCCTCGACTTAAGCCTGTCTTCATTCGAAAGAAGGACCGGGTGGCAGTTCAAGAGCGAGAAGCTGAAGCACTGAAACAGGAGCTGGAGCAGGAAGCAAAGCACCTGGCTGAGGCACGTCGCAAGTACACACTGAAGACTGTAGAAGAAGAGAGCAAGAAAGAGCTGGAGGAGAACAAGCGGTCTCTCGCCGCTGCCCTGGATGGACTCAATACTGATGACGAAAATGAGGAAGAACAGCATGAGGCATGGAAAGTCCGAGAACTCAAAAGAATCAAGAGGGACAGAGAAGATCTTGAAGTGCTTAAAAAGGAGAAAGCAGAGACTCAACGCATTCGAAACCTGACTGAGGAAGAAAGGCGGGCTGACCTTCGTGCAAATGGCACAGTCATTACCAACAAAGCTGTCAAGGGCAAATACAAGTTTTTACAAAAGTATTATCACCGGGGTGCCTTCTTCATGGATGAGGATGAAGGGCTCTACAAGAGAGATTTTAGTGCACCTACTCTTGAGGACCATTTCAACAAAACCATTCTTCCAAAAGTCATGCAGGTCAAGAATTTTGGACGGTCTGGTCGTACCAAGTACACCCACCTTGTGGATCAAGATACCACTTCCTTTGACTGTGCATGGGGCCAAGAGAGTTCCCAGAACACAAAGTTCTTTACACAAAAGGCAGCTGGGATATGTGATGTATTTGAGCGACCATCTGCTAAGAGGAGGAAAACCACCTAGGTTTCAACTGCTTATTTCAACTGTGGGACACAAGGGGAGCCCGTCCTCAATTTTCATTAAAGATTATTTACACAATTCTTGTTTAGAGCCTTCTGGAGTTACTGCCATTACTTGGTTTGAAGGAGCTTTGTAAGAGGTTTGGACTCATACTGAGAAACCTGCAGAAAAGCACTAACCAAGTAGATTAGAGGCTTCCTACTTAAAACTATTTCTGAGAAATCTTAGGTTTCTCTACCATGGCTTTCCATATTGACTTGGGACTGTTCTGAGCTTATTTTTCCAGCACCTTAGCCTGGATCAGATGTATGGGCATGTGAGTGGATGGTGCATTCCTTCTTCCTTAGGGTTAGAAATAGGATATCAGGAAATCTAAGCTCAATCCAACCTGTATTTTGCATTTGGTGTGTTGAATCTTCTTTTCTAAGTAAACATACTTTTTGGAAAAAAAAAAGTGGGAGGTGGTCTCCCACAGTGGCTTATCACAAAATCCAAAAAGAGAATGCTTATCTATCCAGCTATAAATCTCCTGGGAATATACCCAAAGGAGTCTCCATCTTACTGCAGGAATACTTCCACAGCCTTGTTTATTATTGCCCCATTCACAACAGTAAAGAAATTGTAATTTCCAAGATGGCCATCAATAGAGGAATGGATAATCCATAATGGAATTTTATTCAGATGTAGGAAAATGAAATTATGAATATTTTAATAAAATGGGTGGAATGGAAAATGCTGTGGGATGTTCTGTATGTCAAATAAATATGTTGCTCTGATTGGTAAATAAGTAAAACACTGTTTGGCCAGTAACCAGGCAGGAGGAAGTATAGGCAGGAGAAGGAGGAGAGAATTCTGGGAAGTGGAAGACTGAGTCAGAGACACTGCCAACCTCTGCCATGACAAGCAGCATGTCCAGATACCGGTAAGCCATGAGGCAAGGTATAGATTTATAGAAGTAGATTAGTTTATGATTACTATGAAATAGATAGCTAGAAGCCTGAGCCATTAGGCCAAACAGTTTAAATCATATAAGCGTCTATGTGTTTATTTTATAAGTGGGCTGTCGAGTGGCCGGGGCTTGGCAGACCCGGAGAGAAAACTCTCCAGCTACAAGAAAACACAGTGAACAAGGCATCTCTGCTCAGAGACAAATACTGTACATTCTATCTCATGTGCAGATTCTAGGCTCTAAGTATTTATTCTGTGTATCCAGGTAGGAATCAATATGGGTAAATCCTAAGAAACTTGAAAGGGCCCATGGGACTGAAAAGAAAGCCTTTAAGAGAAGGAAGTCAGGAAGACAATTGAACAAAATAGAAGAAGAATACTAGGATAAAGAGTATGTGGGAAACCTGGGGAAAAAAAGACAAGGAAAGAGAAAGTTGGGGTGGGAATGGGCCCCAAATCAAATATGTACAACACTCTCAAAATTCACTTTATAAACTAATTTAAAAAACCTAATATTTAAAACAACAATACAATTTTTAAATTCCAACTTTGCTATAGTATTCAGCTCACCAAACATTAGCTAATGGTAGCTTAAGGCCTTCTGTGGGAGATGAACAAAGAAACACATCAAAGCAGGACTCATGTTTTCCCATGCTATAACACTCTTGAAATCTCAGAGTTTTCATGATTGGCCATATTATAAAATATATATATATATAATATATGAATTGAGGTCAGAATTTAAGGGGGGATGCCAGCACTTACTCTTCAGATCTCTGTGCAGATCTGTGTGAGAAACAAGCCTGGCACTGTTTTGTAATCAGGAGGCCATTTTGAAGCTGTAGTTCAGTATGGTTTCTGTCAACTGTAGAACTTAAATTTTGTTTCTCAGAACTGGGGTATGTCCCACCACTGTGACCACCACACATTCTATCACAAATGTTCCAGGAAGGTTTTCTGAACCTCTGTCTCTTTTCTGTAATCACGATTGCTTACAAAATCCCCCCACCCTAGAGTTTTGACCTGTAAATGTGAATTGGAAAATTGGCTCAGGGCTGTTCTTGTGCAACCTTGCGTGAGACAGCTGGCCAGCTCTCCGGTGTGCACAATACAGATTGCTTTGATTTGTCCACAATTTGTGGTCGGTGGTCTTTATCCCCGTTTGGTGTGATTAACATGTGCACATGGGGTACCTGAGGATGTAATTCAACTCTACAGTCACAAGCTGACCATTCTTTCAGAACTCTGTACAAGTTGTACCAAAAAGATGTTGATTAGTTTTTGTCTAGATGGATATGATTTTTCATGCCTCTTAGAGGGCCAAGAAACTCTTAAAAATGTCGTCCTGTTTCAGAGAATCACACAGATCTACTCTCCCGATTTTAGGAAGAGCAGTACCCGAGTCTTTACCTAGACATTTAACAGTGCCCTTCACATCTTAAGTTGGCTATGATACTAATGAAATAAGAGGAAATGTTAACGTAGATCCAGGAGAATCCCTGAAATGAGGGCACTCTACTTTGTCACTTTCTCTGCTCTGCTTCAGGACTGCTGGTGTGCTAGCTGGAGCTAGTGCTAGGAAGCATTTCACCTGTGCTGAGTAGTTTGTGTGTGTGTGTGTGTGTGTGTGTGTGTGTGTGTGTGTGTGTGTGTGTTGTGTCTTTTGTCAATGTGTAAAGGATAAAAATCTGGTGGGTCGATAATTGGCTGTATAATATTATTTGTTTGCTTGCTTGTTTGTTTTTTTGTTTTTTTTTTTGAGACAGGGTTTCTCTATGTAGTTTTGGTGCCTGTCCTGGAGCTCACTCTGTAGACCAGGCTGGCCTGGAACTCACAGAGATCCGCCAGGCTCTGCCTCCAGAGTGCTAGGATTAAAGGCATGTGCCATCACTGCCTGGCTGGGTGTATAATATTCTTATATGTAAATTGGATGTAGGCCTTAAGAGCCAAAATTCAGCGAGTATGTACAGATCTCTGGTATGTAGCACTCTGTAGTTAGGAAGTTTGGAGATCTTCATTTAGAGATTCTTCTGGCATCATTTACACATGTACCAACTGGGAGCAGTCCACTTCCAGTACCACTGTTTAGGTAATAGGTACACTTGCCTGTGTAGTTGTGTTGTTTGTTTTATTTTTAATGCCGGAGGGAAAATTTGTAGTTTCTAGTAGAGAGTTCAGTGAATATTGAATTTACAAATGTAGATGAGGTTAAGGGGATTAGAGGACAAATAGAGATGAAAACAAGTTAGAGGGTTTTGTTGGTGATGTTTGTTTTGTTTGGGGCCAGGCTCCCATAGAACTGAAAAGGGAAGCCAGGTGGTAGTGATGCAATCCTTTAATCCCAGCACTGGGAGGCAGAGCCAGTTCAATCTCTGTGAGTTGGAGGCAAGGACTACTGAGTGAGTTCCAGGAAAGGCACAAAGTTACACAGAGAAACCCTGTCTCAAAAAACAAACAAAACAAAACAAAACAAAACAAAAAAGAATGAAAAGGGGCAGTACATTCATTTAATAGAGGGAAATAGGGTACCCATGTGACATGATACTTTTACATTTACTAAACTGAAGTGATTGAGTAGTCTTTCAGGCTACATCATCTCAGCTAGCCATCTCAAAATTGTCCTGAGTAGTTTGTAGTCTAAAGCAGATCTTTCCGTGGTGTTAATTAGTTTAATGACTTTATCATAGTCCTTGTGGAATCATCATTGTGAGTCCTGTCATCTTTTTGAAGATTTCAAAGTCACTGTTAGGGTGGTCATGGTTCACTGCAGACTTTCTTTCTTTCCTTTTTTTTTTTTTTTTTGCCTCCTCTCTGGTTTGGACTTATCACAGTCTGATAAATGTCTGTCTCTTGGAACCATGAACATTCTTCCCTAGAAGAGAAAATCTTCACAGCAATTTCTCCCCACCATTTGTCTTGCCAAACTTTTCCAAATTAACCTTTGCTAATGCTCTTGTAACACGATGGTCCCAGCAATTCTTCTCTGAACAAGCAGTAGTAAACCCTTCATCCCAGGTAGCAGTATCACCGCAGTCACCAACAGGATGAGTAGAAGCCAGCAACTCAGAGCAGCAGCCGCTGCCTCCATAGTTCCGCCTCCATAGTTCTACCGCCACTGTTTGTGGCCAGGTCTAGGGCTGAAACTTCTCCTTAGCAAGCCTCTTAGGCTTGTCTCAAACTTCTGATCCTCCTGCCCCGCCCTCTTCAGCAAATCCTACCAGCTTGTGCCACCACAAAGGGCAATGTGTAGCTTAGGTTTGAGCTGGGGCCCACAAAGCCACAGGCAAGCAGCTTTTTCATGAATTCGTACCACAAACGTGGGGCGCCAGATGTAGCGTGAATCTTAACAGTTCTTACTAATAAACACAAACCTGAGGCCAGTTATTGGGGTGAACACTGGAAGATCAGAGAGACAGCAAGCCACAGCTACCTCACCTCGCCAGTTCCTCAGCTGATCTTGTTTCCTCAGACTCGAAACCTTTGAATCCTCATCCCAATGGGTCTCAGCTGGACTGTTGCTCAAAAGCCTAAAGGCTTAACCAGCCAAATGCTTAACCAGCCAAATGCTTCTAGTTTCTGGTCTTCAAGCCTTATATACCTTTCTGCTTTCTACCACTACTCCCTGGGATTAAAGGCTCACTTTCTTGGATTAAAGGCATGTGTCACCATGCCTGGGTGTTTGAACTCATAGAGATCCACCATTTTCTAGCCTTTGTATCTAGTGGCTTTTCTGTCTCTGACTCCAGATAAGTTTATTAGGGTGCACAATATTTTGGGGAACACAATACCACCACAATCAAGTTCTAGATTCTATTGATAAGCATTATAAAACATCACAGATTCCATCAGAATGGCCACCATAAAAAAAATAATCAATTTGGTGGAGAATGTGGTAGGAAGAAGGATCTATGCTCTCTATTCATGGGAATGTAACCTAGTGTAGCCACTGTGGAAGTCAGTGTGGCAGCTTGTGGAGGTCCACAAAGGTTTCCTAGTGAGATGTGAGTTTGTTGTACCCAGCAGGGCTGCAGTAGAAGAATGCTTGACTATATGCATGGATACTTTGTGATTGGCAGGGTCTACACCAT